CTCCCACTGTTGCCCCCCCAAGCACCAAGAATACAGTGCATCACCTGCCCCAGCCTGTGAGTTCCTATCTATACCATGTGGCTAATAGCCACTGATGGACCCCTGTTCCATATGTCTATCCATTTCCCTCTTGAAGCTGTCCATGCTTGTAGCCGCCACCACCTCCTGTGGCAGTGAATCCCATGTGTTAATCACTCTTTGGGTGAAGAAGGACTTCCTTTTATCCATTCTAACCCGACCGCTCAGCAATTTCATGGAGTGCCCACGAGTTCTTGTCTTGTGAGGAAGGGAGAAAAGTACTTCTTTCTCTACCTGCTCTATCCCATGCATAATCTTATGAACCTCAATCATGTCACCCCTCAGTCGTCTTTTCTCCAAGCTAAAGAGCCCCAAGCGCTTTAGCCTTTCTTCATAGGGAAAGTGTTCCAGCCCTTTTATCATCCTAGTTGTCCTTTTCTCCACTTTCCCCAATGCTATAATATCCTTTTTGAGCTGTGGTGACCAGAATTGCACACAGTACTCCAAATGAGGTTGCACCATCAATTTATACAGGGGCATTATGCTACTGGCTGATCTGTTTTGAATACCCTTCCTAATAATCCCCAGTGTTGGCCTTTTTTATTGCAGTCGCACACTGTCTCGACATTTTCATTGAGTTATCTACTACGACTCCAAGATCTCCCACTCCGAAAGTGCGCTTCTACCCCGCGCGGTTTCCCTGCACCGAATTCCCAAACGACAAGCCCGTCAATGACAGAGGATAAGAATCGACCCACCACAGGCCCGCGTCAGGTCACAGTAATTCCTTAAGCACTGACAGGCGGGGGGTGACTATGAACCCCCAGTGCTGGCGGATACTTACTTACTGGAGGTTGGTGTGGGCACGTTTGCCAGGATGGAAAAATTACTACGCACGCTTCGCAAACTCGCCAGCACCTGCAGGGAGGAAACGAACACAGAGAGGGGAAAGGGTTACGATTACGGAGCGGTGAAAAGCAGACCGGCGATCCGGCCCCGGATTCAGGGACGGATGTGATCAGATCAAATTCATTCACAGCAAAAGCCAGCGCTCTAATACGGTAGTCAAACTAAATCTGTCAAAACTCATAAAACCACAAACATGAATAAAATGAAAATATCAAATAGCGTGTGCAAGTAAAACATGTCGTCCTATAGCGAGTTACATCTATTCGTCTTTCACTAGCCGCTTTCCCATCCTTACAGCTAACCAGCCAAATTTGGCAAGCTGAGCTGTAACCTCAGGGCGCCTACTTTCTCGGAGGTTCTTCAGCAATTGCATCTTTTGACTAGTCGAGGACGGAGCAGTTGTGGAGAGTGGGGGAATACCATGAAAGTGCCCATATGCCCTGCAGTCGTATATAATATGCATTAAAGCCAGTTTGCTGTCGTGGTTAAGTGTGTGGACTCTAATCTGGGAGAACCGGATTTGATTTCCCACTCCTCCACTTGCAGCTGCTGGATGACCTTGGGCAAGCCATAGTTCTGTCGGAGCTGTCCTTGAAAAAAGAACAGTTTCAGTCAGAGCTCTCTCAGCCCCACCTACCTCACAGGGTGTCTGCTGTCGGGAGGGGAAGGGAAAAGGAGTTTGTCAGCCGCTCTGAGACACCTTTGGGTTGTGAAGGGCGGGGTATAAATCCAATCTCTTCTTCTTCTTCTAAACTGTGGAGTCTTGTGAACTAAAATTCTACTTTGTGAGCTACTGGTACTACTGGCGCTAAAGTTGTGAGCGAGCAATTTGGCCGCTGCATAAATTAGTTTGCTCTGGAGCCATCCTTCCTGAGCTAAGACAAAACTGTGTGAGCCGGAGGCTAAAAAACTGTGAGCTAGCTCACACTAACGCAGCATAGAGGGAACACTGCCTGAGAGGCAGGTGGGGCTGAGAGAGCTCTCTCGAGAACTGCGCTTGAGAGAACAACTTTGGGAGAACTTGTGACTGACCCAAGGTCACCCAGCTGGCTGCAGGTGGAGGAGTGGGGACTCAAAAGTCAGTTCTCCCAGATTAGAGTCCGCGCTTCTAACCGCTACACCAAACCACTACAAGACCGTCAGAATGCCCGCCACGGAATATGAACAATGGACTAAACCCGGCTTGCAAATCGGCAGTATCTGAAGGATCGTCTTCCCCCCTGCGTTCCCGCCTGGGAATTACGATCACAGGAAGAGGCCCTCCTGACAACCCGTCAACCAAAGAGGCTCGTCTGGCGGGTACACGGGAGAGGGACTTTCCGGGGGGTGGCCCCACGGTTCTGGAACAACGTTCCCCAGGGAAGTATGCCTGGCCCTGTCACCTTCAGTCTTTAGGCGGCAGCTGAAGACGGTTTGATTTAGGACTCCTAAATTGTGATTTTAAACTTTGGTTTTATGTACTCTGTTTCGTTAATATAGTAAGCTGCCTTGAGCTCCCTGAGGAAAGAAAGCCGCTAATAAATAAAAAGCCCTATATGGCCAGGGTCCGTCTTACCAGAGGGACCGTCTTTTCCTACTTATATCACAGAGAGCACTGCGGTCGGGGGTCACAGAACCGACTGACCCCCCCGGGCCCCAAAGACGCCAGGCTTGCTACCGCCAGGGCCAGAGCCTTCTCAGTGGTGGCTCCTTGCTGGTGGAATGAGCTCCTGGAAGAGACTAGGGCCCTGCGGGACCTCTTACAGTTCCGCAGGGCCTGCAAGACGGAGCTCTTCTGCCAGACTTTCGACTAGGAGCCGCCCTGATCATTACTGTCAACAAGCTTGGCTGTGCTGACTTGGCTGGGAGCCACCGAGGCGATAAGCCAGAAGCTGAAGATAGCGCCGGAATCAAGGTCAGTGGGAACGCTGAAGGTCGGTTAGCTGTGAAGTCGTTTCAAGAATGCAGGTTTCCAGAGGCAAGGAGCGACAGCTGCACACCCAGAAAGCAGGTCTGATTTTGCAGAGCGGTTGCCGCCCTGGAGCAGGTGCACCAAGGGGTTTTCAACGGATCCTCCCTCCCTTTGGAGTGGAGTCTGCAGAGGCTTACAACTCCTCTTGTTGACGTTGCTGGAGCTCCAGCCTGGCGCTTCATCTTTGTTCCTGCAAAGTCAGCCTCTGCCGGGCCCTACGTCTGGGGCGCTCGGGGGAACTAGGTGGAAAGTCTGGCCTCGGGGTGGTCTGCTGCTGGGGTTGCTGGCCCCGGCTCAGGAATGGTCTCCCCTTCTGGCTGCACCTCTTGCGCTGCTGCTGGGGACTCTTCCTCCTCGGGTACTGCCAGGGGTCATTTCCTGCAGGAGCGCACAGGAGCGGAGCTCCGGCAGTAAAGAGCCCAGGTGGCGGGCACATGCAACAAGCCCCACCCCCTGCTCCCAGAAGCCCTCAATCAGAGCAAGAAGCAGCCAGGTAAGTTGCAGAGCCCTCCCCCCATAGATAGCGATCCAAAACAGTCTAGTGGCACCTTTAAGGCCAAGGTTTATTCAGGTACAAGCTCTCCCTCCTCTGTGAGGGCAGATCTGCACGTTCCCCCCCCCCAATAGCTAGCAATCCAAAGCAGTCCAGTGGCACCTTTAAGGCCAAGCTTTATTCAGGTACAAGCTCTCCCTCCTCTGTGAGCCTGGAGTTCACCTGGAATTACAGCCGATCTTTGGACTATGGGGAGTCACATCCTCTTGAAGAAAAGAGCGCCTTTGGAGAGCAAGAGCTCTGTGGTTTCACACTCCCTCTTATCCGGTGATTGTTAAAGCTTACTCAAGAGTCTTTGGCGAGGGACTTCATCTAAAGCAGGGGTGTCAAACATGCGGCCCGGGGGCCGGATCAGGGCCAGAGGGCTAGAGGGCTTCTATCAGGCCCACAAGGGACTGGCTTGTCTCCTGCTTCTTTCACCAGTTCTGCTGCTGCTGTTGCGTCATAGCTTGCTTTCCCAGACTCACTCAATCGCTCAGGAAAGATAGATAAGCAAGCTTCTGCTCCCTGCACTGGGCTTAGGCCCCTCCCCCTCCCCCTCCCAGACTGCAACAGCACAGACATTTTGATGCAGTAATTCAGAGCAAGAAGTGCCAGTTATCAAAGACTGCTAAATAAAATATTGCAAGAATGCTAATGTTTCAAGCATGTTTTTAAGTAAAAAAACCCCCACCTTTGTGTTTGTATCCTTTATAAAGTTTATATCTCTGCTCCCTGGCGTTACATTTGAATGACACACATGGCCCGGCCCAACAAGGTCCAATTTATGTCAATTCCAGCCCTCCATAACAAATGAGTTCCGCACCCCCGATCTAATGCGTTTTGAAAATGCAAATGTATATGTCTCCTGGGTCACCTTTAGATGTTCCCTGAACTTCCAAAAAAGGTTTTGAGGAGGTCCCTCCCCGGTGACTCCTGAGTAAGCCGTAGCAGCCAACTCGGATCGCGATTAAAAATATCGTTCAACTGTTCCCGTATGGACCTTTCACACCTCCGTGTGCTTTTCACCTTCCAGGGGTGACTGTAGCAAACGGCTGACCAAGAATCCACAAGCAATGCAAACAGTGCGAGAGGCAGCGATCCAGTCCGAGGCAAATATTTCGGGGAAAGATCAAACCCGTGCTTCCCAGATGTAAATAACGTCCCTCGTTTGACAAATGCCAGGAATTGGGACATACCTGGGCAAACGGCGTCACTATCAGGTCTTCGGCATGTCTGTGAGGAACAAAAACGACATGGGTTAGCTGGGCTGGACGGTGGACAGCCGCTCCGAATTGAGTATCTGCTTTGGCAGGAGTTTCGGGTAAGGCACACAAATAAATCCTGAAGGTTGTTTTTTTTTTTTGCTGGGTAGTGAAAACTTGTTCTGGCCCCGAAACCATTCACAGTTAACCTAGAGACCGTTTTTAATTTGACGACGGGAGCTTTGACTCTCAGAGGTTTATACTATGGAAACCTTGCAGGTCTCCAAGGTGCTGCTGGGTTCGAATCTCGCTCTCCTCCTGCGGGCCGATGTGGCTACCCACATGAAACTGTAGCACCTTAGAGACCAACGGCATTTTGGGTGTGTAAGCTTTCAAGAGTATCTGACAAAGCGAGCTTTTTGGGCTCCGGTGGGCATTACTTTGCACTTGCCCAGGTGGAAAGAAACCCATTTGCCATGTTGACTGCTTGACGCCCACCTGCCCGGCCTCGACAGATCCCCCTGGAGTGCCTCACAATTCTCCCTGGCTCTCACCGCTCTGAACAACTTAGTATCCTCCGCAAACTGAGCCACTTCACTGCTTACTCCCAGGCTGGAGCCCTCCTTCCTGAGCTAAGACCAAAATGTGTGAGCCAGAGGCTAAAAAACTGTGAGCTGGCTCACACTAACTCAGCTTAGAGGGAACACTGCTCTGGAGATCCTCCTTCCTGAGTTAAGACCGAAATGTGTGAGCCGGAGGCTAAAGACCTGTGAGCTAGCTCACACTAACTCAGCTTAGAGGGAACACTGCTCTGGAGCCCTCCTTCCTGAGCTAAGACCGAAACGTGTGAGCCGGAGGCTAAAGACCTGTGAGCCAGCTCACACTAACTCAGCTTAGAGGGAACACGGCTCTAGAGCCCTCCTTCCTGAGCTAAGACCAAAACGTGTGAGCCAGAGGCTAAACAACTGTGCGCTAGCTCACATTAACTCAGCTTAGAGGGAACACTGCTCCCAGCTCCAACTTCAACTCCCAAATCTTCGGCTACACACGGGGAAGAACTTCCTGACAGTCAGAGGTTCCCCAGCGGAGCAGGCTTCCTCAGGAAGTGGTGGGCTCCCTCCTTCCGTGAAGGTTTTCAAACAGAGGCTTGATAGCCATCTGACAGCTGTGCTGATTCCGTGAACTTAGGCCAATTACGAGAGGGAGGGCAGGAAGGGTTGTCGCAGGGCTTAGTTCCTGTGGCCCTTTCTTACACGCCCAGGGAAATGCTGATCGCCACTTTGGGGTCAGAAAGCCATTTTCCCCCAGGCCATTTCGGCCAGGGATCCTGGAGGTTTTTTGTCATCTTCTGGTCGTGGAACAGGGGTCACAGGTGGGTATGGGGGGGAGGTATTGGTGAATTTCCTGCCTTGTGCAGGGGGTTGGACTAGATGGCCGTGAAGGTCCCTCCCAACTCTATGATTCTATGATTCCAAATCATTAATGAACAAGTTAAAATAAGTTAGGGGTATCTCGCTGCTTTGGACGTATAAACTTCTGAAAATCAAAGCTTTGCATCTGACAATGGGAGTTTTGAGTCTCAACAGTTCATACTCCGAAACGCCTACTGGTCTCTTAAGGTGCGACTGGATTCGAACCTCGCTCTTCTACTGTGGACTAACATGTGCTGCCCTCTGAAACTTGACTGTTCTTAACAGAGCTGGTTTGTCTTGGCAAGGCGGGCTACAAATCGAAAGTAATAAATAGTTAATTAATTAATTAATTAATTAATTAACGAGACACCGGATTACAGACTGTACTGCCCTCTCCCTCTTTTATGGAATGGGGAGACTGAATCCTGGTTGCAGTGGCAGAGCCTCTGCTCGGCATGCAGGAGGTCCCGGGTTCAATCCCCGGCGTCTCCAGTTAAAAAGGACTAGGCTGGAGGTGATGGGAAAGACCTTGACCTGAGATCCTGGCTCAGTGGCAGAGCCTCTG